TCTAGCATTTATATTTATAAGTAGTATACTATAATATGAAGTAATGCAATATAACGTATTATATATGCACGTATAACAACAAATATGCATATTCATGTTTGTAGTTGTTAAATAGATTGAATTCTATAGGAATCCAGTTGTGAACCCATCTCTTCTCTACGCCTCTACTTAACAGGACTCACTGAAACTGGACCAGCAAAGAATTAGTCTACAAATCATGATTCTAATTTTTCCACCATAGAAGTCAATCTTAAAATCAAGAGGCTGGACAGAATAGTGGTTATGGGATGCGGACTCCTAAGACAGACTGCCTGGGCTGAAATTCCAGCTCTGTGACTTACGTGCTGTAAACTAGTAGAAACAGCTAACCTCCCTCTGCCTTCCTTTCCTCTTCTGGAAAATGGACGTAATAAAAACACCTACCCCAGGAGGCTGTTGTGAAGAATAAAGGAGTTAATTCATGTAAAGCATTTAGAACAGTGGTCGGTACATAGTAAGTTCTCAAGTGTTAGTTCGTTTTTTTGTTTGTGTTTTCTTTTCTTTTTTTTTTTTTTGATTAGTCTTGGTAGGGGTATATCAGTTTCATTAATCTTTTCAAAGAAACAACTTTTAATTTTCTCTATTGTTTGTCTAGTCTATTCTATTGTTCTCTGCTCCTTCTGATTTCTGCTCTTACTTGCTCTTTTCTGATTACTTTGGATTTAATTTTGTCTTTTATCTTTTTAAACAGAAGCTTAAACCACAGATCTTAAAATGACACTTCTTCTTTTCTAATAAGGCATTTAAAACTATAAATTCCCTTCTAATTACTGCACTAGCTACATCCCACACACTTTGATATGTTGTGTTTTCCTCATCATTCAGCTTAAAATATTTTAAATTTCTTCTTGTGATTTTGTTTTTGACCCATGAGTTATTTAGAAATGTACTGCTTAATTTCTAAAGGTGTGGGAAATTTTAACTTCCCGGACCGGGGCACGAACCCGTGTCCCCTGCATCGGCAGGCGGACTCGCAACCACTGCGCCACCAGGGAAGCCCTGTTTGTGTTTTTGTTTTTTCGGGGCTGCACCGCGTGGCTTGTGGGATCTTAGTTCCCTGACCAGGGATCAAACCCAGGCCCCTGCAGTGAGAGTGTGCAGTCCTAAGCACTGGACGCCAGGGAAGTCCCAGGAATTAGCTAGAATTTAATGGCATTTCTTAAAATGAGATGCTCCCTTCTCCCTCTCTCCCTCTCTCTCCCTCTCCCTCTCTCCCTCTCTCCCTCTCTCTCTCTCTCTCTCCAATTTGTTTTTCAACACCCTCTGACTTCTCCATGGACCAGTGCTGGATTTGCAGGGTACTTGTAGGGTAGTTGGGTTTTCTCCTTTTTCTCCCCGGGGGGGAAAAATATAATTTATCTCAAACCTTTTTTTTTTCTTCAAAATGTTCCGAGAGGGAAAGTAAAACATCCAACAAGCTTATCTGAGTGAAAACAGGTATAATTTGCATGATAAAGATATATTTCCATTTATAAAGTTCATCAGCAGAATTAATGACAAATAAAGGGAAGATCCAATTAAAGTCCCCCCTCCATTAACAACCTTGTTTCACTCTTAGGGCAAGAATTTTAAAAGGAGAGGCTTAAGTTGGAAATGACTGAAATATTAAGGTTCGTGGCATTAATGAAGTGATCGTATTAGAATTCAAGGAAAGGAGATTCTCCAGTGATTTTTGTAATCAGAGTCAGATGCATTTCCCCCAATTCCAGTTCCACCAGCTTTTTCTTGTTCACCCAAATGAGCTGTCAGGAACTGATGGGCGCCATCATAATCAAAGAAAACAAGTTTGCCCTTTAAAGCAAAGAGGTAATTTGGCTGAAAGCAAATTGGAAACATTTCCCATAACATTGCACTTGCAGCCGAAATCTCTAAAGAATTTGAGAGTTTTGATTTACGCTTGAGAGCCTTGGGGGACCATGGGGAGAAGTGAGTTCATTAAACACTTGGTTCACATTCATTCTGTGGCCCGTGGGGCAGAGATCCTTCATTCCCCAGGGAGGCTGAGGAAGCTCCACGGCTGTCCCTAAAATGTTATTTTCAGGAAAAGCCTTAAGGAACTCACAGATTGATTGGGGAACTGGAAGCAGGTGGGAATCAAGGAGATGCAAGATAATACCCTTCTGCCCCAGTCCTCAGCTCCCAGAGGCTTCTGATTTTTTTTTTTTAATAAATTTATTTATTTATTTATTTTTATTTTTGCCTGCATTGGGTCTTCGTTGCCACGCGTGGGCTTTCTCTAGTTGCGGCGAGCGGGGGCTACTCTTCATTGCGGTGCACAGGCTTCTCATTGCGGTGGCTTCTCTTGTTGTGGAGCATGGGCTCCCAGCGCACAGGCTTCAGTAGTTGCGGCATGCGGGCTCAGTAGTTGTGGCTCGCGGGCTTAGTTGCTCCGTGGCATGTGGGATCTTCCTGGACCAGGGCTTGAACCTGTGTCCCCTGCATTGGCAGGCAGATTCTTAACCACTGCACCACCAGGGAAGCCCGAGGGATCCATTTTTCCTGGCCAAGGAACAAAGCCTCCTTAGCACCTGATCTGGGTTCCTTTCTTCCTGTCCTTTGTTACTTTAGGTGTTCCTTGGATTTCCTTACTCTTGGCCTTGCTGAACAGGTGTCTGTTGTGGCTTCATACATCACTTCCTCCTCCCTTGCATTCATATCTCCATTCCCAAGGCCTTCCTGGAGCCCCCTCGACCTATGCTAGTTGCCTAGCATATTTTGTCGGCTAGGGTCCTTTGATCGTGAGCAACGGAAACTAACCCTGGCTAAGCAAAACGGTGAAGGAAAAGCTGAAGATCCAGCCCTCAGACAGGACGGCAGCCAAGGAAGTTCTGGGGATCTTGGTAGCAGAATCTTCAGGAACCCATCCCTGGCATGAATCAGGTCCTGCCATTTCTCATCCATGAGTCACTCTCCAGGGTTCCTAGGAAGCAGAGACCAGGATTGTTTGATTGGCAGTCCCACCAAGACCACACACAGGGAGAGAGAGGATGAGTTTCTCAAAGGAAAAGTGGGGTGCTATCACCTGACGAAGAGCAAACAGGTCACGGGAAGGCCGAGACACCCTTGCCCACTGTCTACTCCAGTTATGGAGTTTAAAACTGAAGTCTCTGTCCTCCCTTCTAAACTTCCTCTCCCAATTTCCCTAGATTCTCAAGGGCCCCACCATTCTCTCCCATGCCCCACCCAAGCTCAAAACTGTCCTTCATTCATCAGGTCCTAATGGTTCTTTCTTCAAAACGTTTCTCACGTCCACAGACAGAGTATGAAAATCGAAATGACCCAGGTAACCTGTAGTGGTGGCAACAGATCTCTCCCCAAGATGAATATCAGTTTTTATCAGTGCTGGGAATTCAGTAGTCATGAAAATTGATAAAGCCTCTGCCTTCTTTGGAGCTTACTTTTTAGAGGAGGGGAAAGACACACAATAAACAAATAAAGAGGAGAGATGGAGAGATGTCATATGGTGAGAATTAACCTGCGGAAAAAGTGAACAGGATGAGGGGCCTGGGAGGGTGGGGGAGAAGGAGAGGGTTTATATTTTACATCGGGAGCCACTAAAGCACTCACTATGACAGTAATGTTTGAGCCAAGAAGTGAAGGTAAACTCTGGGAGGACGGGAACTATACCTTACATCTTTTTTATAACCCCAGGGGCTCAATAAATACCTGAATAGATGACTACAGGGATGATCTTTTTTTTTTTTTTTTTTTTTTGCGGTACGCGGGCCTCACTGTTGTGGCCTCTCCCATTGCAGAGCACAGGCTCTGGACGCGCAGGC